GCGGGGCGCCCACCCGCGAGGTGCCACCGCGGCCGCCCCTAGAGGCCGGGCTTCCCGCCCGTCACGTCATGGGAAGGCTGCCATGATGCCTTCCCACGTGTGGCCGCTCGCTGTGACGTCAGCCCCGGGCTATGACGACGTGTCAGTGTCTCAGAGAAGGGAGCGGTGGCTGTACCGTGGGGCGACCCCACTCACCCACTCAGCTGTGACACCGCGCGTGATGTCACCGTGACGCCACACGTGATGTCATTGCAGTGCTGAACCTCGGAGCCCTCTAGGCCTGTGCTGCCATGACAGCGTGGCACCGCTGTGAAATACGCATGCAGCGGAGGAGGTGCTGTGCCATCCATCTGCGGTTCGGCGGCGTGGTTCGGGGTCACGGCGCACTGTCGTAAGGTCCCGCACGCCCCAGAGCGCTGCCGCGCGTGGGTGGCTTTGGTCAGAATGTTGCTTTCTGCAGAGTTTCAGCAGCTGCGATCAGCAGCAAAATCTCCCTCCACACCTGAACCTTGCGCAGTGGTTTCACAATCCCATCTCCTGTTGCGGCACTGAGGTACTTTCAAACTGTGCGGAGGCGTCAGTCGGTTGGTTGTCAAAAGGCACTGTTTAGCACGGCCTTTCGGCTTCTTGTAATTCAGTCTTGTAGAGGACTTGCTTGGATGATCCAGTTTTAATGTCATAATGATACATTCACTGTAACACATCTAAAAATAGCAGTTGCATAACAGTCCAAACATGGAAAAATAGGCCTGAAGGGAACCTGAGGTTGTGTTGTCCATCAGTCGACCCGAAGGCAGCATCAATGCGTCTTCATTTGCTGCAGACAAATGTCTAGTTTGTTCTTCAGAACCTCCGGGGAGGTTCCTCAGCCTGTGCGGTCTGTGTCAGTGCTGCATTAGCTTTTCTTCAAATCACTTTTTTCCTGAATCACTGGTGTACTTTAAGCTTGTTTGTTTATTTTTCCTATCTGCCATGGACATGGAAATCGGAGTATCCCTTTGTAGCAGCCTCTTACATATTTTAAGACTGTTATCTGCCCCTTCTGTCTTATCTTCTCCAGACTAAACAACCCTGTTTCTTGCCATCTTTCCTCGTAGGTCATGTTTTCTAAACCTCTGATCATTCTCATCACTCTCCTTTGGACTCTTCTAGGTGGTTCATGTCTTTTTTGAAGTGCAGTGATCAAAAACTGGAAGCAGTACTCCCACTGAGGCCTTTCTGGGGCTGAACAGAATGGAAAGATTCTTACAGGCTCCACTGTTTCCCAGGACAAGGATTTTTCACAGCATGTGACACTCTTGTCTTGTGTTTTTCTTGTGATCTACTAAAGCTCCAGATTTTTTTTTTTTTCTGCAGAACTGATACCTAATCAGTTATTACGTTGTTCAGTTTTTTGTGCATAAGAAACAACCTCATTTTAATTGATCTTTCAAACCATACTGCTATACCAGAATCCATGAGCCAGTGGTGAAAACTAAAGATCTTTTTTTTATGTTTGTTGAGAGGAATACCTGAGGGTACAAACATTTACATCTTACACTGACAGCTACTTACATTTGGGAAAAGGGCCCTCTGTGTTTTTGAAAGCTCCAGCTAGTTCACTGCCAACTTTTCTGTTCTTTGTTTTCAAAGCTTTCTGTCATAACAGACGGTCTAGGTGAGAAGACGGGGATTAAGCTATTGTTGAAGTCCAGCAGTGTAATGGCTTTACTGATCGCTGTATACCTCCCATTCAAGATTTAGTGCAGAGCTTTCAGTTGTCTTTGCTGAGGGACAAAGGTCTGTGGATACCATTTGGCTTTTTCACAGCTACGGAGAGATTACTGAAGTGCAACTCTGCCATTTCAGTTTTGGGGACTAATACACTCCTGCTATTAGAGAACTTTCCAAAGTAGTGTTGTGTTTCTGTTTATTTTGTTAATTTTTCTTTTTTCTTTACTCCTGATTCAGTGACATGAAACATTCAGTGTGTTTGACACTGCCTTCTATGTACTCTCCTGCATGTCTTCGTAACGGAACTAGCAGCACACAGAGGAGTGCATTCACTGAGATAATAGATTTTTCTGTGCCTCTTATTAGTCTTTTGGGCAATTCAGACGGTTCATCCTCTCATTGTTTGTATGATTGATGATGACAAGTGAGTTGATCAAAGACTCTGCAAATTGTAATGCTGAGACAAAATCATTACTTAGAAACCGTCGTACTTGCAGTTTTCAGATATCAATCAAAATGACTTAAAATGAATTAGAATTACAGCACTGTGAAAAAAAATCAGTCTTTTCCACACTGAATAATCTTCAGTTGAAATAATAACTCGGTATAAACGTGCTGTGTTCTCTGTAGTAGCTGACTCTCTATTGTGAGTGCTTCATGGATGAGGTCCAGCAGCGTCAGCGATTCAGCTGGTTTTGCTCTCAATAGCTGCCTGTTTTTTCTTGTTAGCATTTATATATTCCTGATGTCCTGACACATTTCTCAAGCTGTGGAACGTGGATCCGTTCCTTTGAATTCAGCAGAAGTTAGGTATTTTGGGAACAGTGGTACTATTTGGATAAAACATCACCTGCAGTCAGCTATTACACTGCATTGCAGCAAAAGATATGTTATCTTAAAACACTAGTGTCGTTAATGGCCTTGCAAAAAATCAGTCTAAAATAAGTCCCGCTGTACTCATGTAATCCATCTAGTGAAGGTGCACACTTAAATTAATTTTGCTGAAGCCGGAACTTGCAATCTGAGCTGCAGGCTACCAAGCTGACGTGTTCCTCGGCAAACCCACAGACAATCATTGTCATAGTCTCCTAAAGCCATTCACTCACAGCCTGCAAGAAGAGTTTGGGTTTTTTTTGTAGTTACTCTTTCCCTCTTTGAAAATTTTACAAAGCTTGCTAGTGATGGCTCGAATTGCAACACTGCTCGAGAGAAACGCTAGATTTAGATGACTCACACCCACAACAATAAAAAGTTCTAGCGTAATTCAAGACAGCTGACTACAGACTTGAATCATACATTAATACTCAGCTGTATTTTTTTCATTTTATTGCTTCAAAGTTAAAATTGGGTTGCAAGTACTGCCCTGCACAGGGCAACGTTCTGGAAGGGGCCATCGTGGCTCTGGCATGGACTTTGCATGGCTGATGCCAAGAAAAAATAAGGGAATGTCAGGGCAAGATGAGAAGAAAATAATTCAGTGAAGAAGGGGGCAGTGTTTTAAGATAATGGATCCCGTTTCCCTGCTAGTTGTTGGTCTCAGTCTGTTATAACTTTTCCCAAATGCCTTATCTAAATTAGGTTTTCTCTCTTCTTTTAGTTCTGTAAGTTCTTTGCAATCTTGCCGTACTAGTTTCTGCCTGAATTTCCTCTGTGAATGATGCAGACTTCTGAGAAACCTTTGTCTCAAAACAGAGATTGTTACGATGGAATTCCTCATTTCTTCAAATCCTTTTAGTTCCATCACTGTATTCTACTGCAGTGTCCTAGTGTGATATGACAGTTACTGCTCATTAGAAGTGGCCCAGAATATACTATAAACTTTAATCACTTAAAGAATACCCCGTGGGACAGGCTTTCCATGTGTTATCTCAACAACCCTGTTCCAAGTACTTTGGACTTGCTGTTCAGCTTGGCTCTGTGGGCCTATGCTGTTAAGAGTACAGGAGGGAGTTCACGGCAGCATGAAGGAGGAGTGACTCTTTGGCTCTTCCTAAGGAGATTAATTATTACTGATTTGTTGTGAATACTTGTTTTTAAAAAAAGTGGACTAAGATCCCACTAACCTCTTTCACAGAGACAACCTGGAAATTTGCCAGTGGTAACAACTTTCAGTCACCTCACTGCAAAGGCAGTTTCTCTTGTGTTTATGAAAAGATCTTGCTCAATTGTTTTGTAGTATATTGGTGACTTCCATTCAGAAAATGTGTGAGCAGTTAGTCCATGTATAGGCATATTAGAAGACTCTCTTTTTTCCCCGCAAAGCATGGTCAGCTGTCGTGGTTTAACCCCAGCCGGCAACTGAGCACCACCCAGCCGCTCGCTCACTCCC